GAATGCAAGAAGAGGTTCTCCGAACTTGTTTCTGCAGATCGAGCTGAAGCAGCTGCAAAAAGCGCTGCCAAAACTGAATCTAAGGAACCCATTCCCATTGTTCATACTGAAGGGGATGAGGAGCTAGCTAGAGCAATCCACGCATCCGAGCATGGAGAGGATCCTAAGCCCGCAGTTAGTGCAGAAGATGTTGCGCATGAATTTGATGCAGCCGAAGCTGGGGAGCCCGCTCCCTCAAGACCCGGTGGCTCATTTTTCGATACCGCGCCAGCGACAGCCGCTACATCGCAAGGTGAAGATTTTTGGGTGTTCAAAGAAAATGCCAACTGTTTGGTTCGATACCATATCATGCCAAGGCAAAATCTCTTTACCCCAAAAGAGGTCGAGGATTGCCCCGTTTCCCCAGAAAGATTTACTGCAGCTCGCACCACTCGTGCCGTGCTTCAGGGGGGCAAAGCAGACAACATCCATGATGGTTGGTTTGGTAGCCGACCCAATCGCTCACTTGGAGATGCATGGACCGGGTTCACAGTGTTCAAGTTAAAACCCATTCAGTCCGATTGTGTTATCACCACAGGTGCAGCCGTGATGTTAGACTCCGTACCGCCGACACCTCTCACCGAAGCGTCAAAGAACGGTCGTCCGAACACATTGCCAATTTTTGGCATGCCATGCAGCGCAGAGGTTGAAGCTCCACAGCGCAAGCAGTTTGAGGTTGGAAATCATCGTGCCCGCAAGAAACAGGCACGTATTGACAAGTTGCCTGTGATGTTCGAATACGCATGTTCACCAGAGTCCAACATGGGTCGCGTGTTTGAAGGTCTTGGCATACCTCATGTTAGGCTAGCTAAAGAGTTTATCGACCTTAGCACAGATGAAGGAGAAATCCAGTTGCAGTCGCAGATTGAAGGTTGTGATAAACCCAATCTCTGGGCCGCAATTCCCTGTACATCAGGTTCAGCATGGCAACGCCTTAATAAGGCCAAGTTAGGAAGCCAGTTCAAAAAGAAACTGAAGCAAAAGGTTAAAGAGTCGAGAGAGTTGTTCTCCAGATTCAGACGTCACGCAGAGACTGTCCTCCATCAGGGGGGTAGTGTTTCGTTTGAATGGCCAAGGGATTGCGACAGCTGGGCTAGGGATGATGTTTCTGCATTCTTTAGAGAATACGCACACGTCTTCACCCCAGCGACCTTCCATGGTTGCGCCCTAGGTCTTAAGGACAGCAATGGTTATCCCATCAAAAAGCCATGGAAAGTCATGACCAGCAATAGCACACTCGCCTCCGCACTAGGTGCATTCAAGTGTCCGCACGAAAAAGGGTATAAGCATTCGCTTGCAGCAGGTAACAAGACCGCAAAGACCGCTTTCTACCCCGAAGGCATGTGTCTCACAGTTGCCCGTGCGCTGTATCCGACAGTTCAACCCGTTGTGCCTGCGATGCCTGTCCAAGTGCCATTGCCTCTCGATCACCGGGAACGTGAACAGCAGTTGAAGCACATATCCCCTCTCTCTGGTTTGGAAGATATAGGTGTTGCTGTTGAGTCCGATGAAAAGTGTCACAACATTCTTGAGCAAGTTCTTGATGTTGAAAATCTCATCGCACATTCCCTAGGACAAGTCAAAGAGAAGAAGGATCCTGAGATCACCGCAATGGTGACCAGACTCTTGTCACGTGCCGAAATGTTGGCTTCCCCGGAAGCTCTTGAAGCCGTTCGACTTGAAGCCACAGGCCTGGAGAAAGCCGGTGCTTGGGATCTAAATTCAGTCCGAGAGTATGATCAAGTCGCTGCTGAGGCGCGACGATCCAGTATAAAAGTCCATTTCGGGCAGTTGATGTCGCTAGCATCCGTCAAGTTCGCCGAACTCGCGAAACACCTTCAGAAGATGAAAGGTAGGATTGTGTATCGCGGAGACTGTGCGAAAGATGAACATGGCGCAGCAGCTGTCTACCAAGAGTTGGGAGCAAATCCCACGAGCGTACAAGGTCTTAATAACTGTCTCGCTTATGGATCCCTGCCAGGGAACTCCACCACAACAGCGGACGCTATAAAGGCTTATGTGCAAGCACTGCTGAAGTCCAAGTACCAAACTTGGATCACACTCCCGCCTGAGCTCCGGCCAAGGTGGTGGCGCGAGCGTTTCGTGAAACCTGTGGTTTTGCTCGTTAAAGCTCTTTATGGGCATCCTGACGCTGGCGGACTCTGGGAGGCACACCTCAAAGGGTTCATTAGTGAACTTGGAGGGCGTGAGGTCGCAGAGTTTCCTGGAAACTTCTGGTTCAAGGAGTCCGGGTTACTTCTCTCGACATACGTCGACGACTTGACGTTGGCCGGCCCCAGCCACCTTCATAAAGACTTCTGGGAAAAGTTAACAAGACTGGTTGATATAGAACCCCCAGAAGACATATATCGGGTGCTAGGCAGGAACCACCTTTTGATAGATGCTCCAAAGGACCCAACTGAACCCGATCTTAATGCCGCAATGGGCAGATTGAAAGGGGGCATGGCGTTCGACATGCGGGATTATGCCCGTCAGACCGTGGCATTGTATCTTGAGGTTGCACAGCTAAAAAGTGAAAAGTTGCGTGATGCCACCACTCCATTCTGTCCCGCTGGATCCCTCGATCCTGCAGATGACGCCTTGGAGGGTGAGCTCGGCTTCGCTGCTTGCCGCGTGTTGATGAAAGCCTTTGTGGCTCGGCCGTTTGGCACGCCCAGACCTGGTCAAGCCCATTGGCGACCTTGCCTCATTTGTTCAAAAATGGTCTAGAAACTGCGATAAGCAGCTACATAGGCTTGTTTGCTACATAAACAGCACGGTCAACAGCACGCTAGTAGGCACAGTCCAAGATTCGACTGAGGATTTGCATCTGTCCCTTTATGTGGACGCCGATTTCGCCGGAGAGCGAGATGCAAAATCCACGTCCGGAGGATTCTTGATTTTGAGTGGTCCGCACACGCATTTTCCGCTTGCGTGGGTATCCAAAAGGCAGACATCGGTCTCCCGATCAACGACCGAGGCGGAGATTGTATCTCTCGCATACTCCCTTTATCAGGAAGCGCTCCCTGCGCTAAGCTTGTGGGAGCTGATCTTGGACCGACCATTCCATCTCAAGATCCACGAGGACAACCAGGCGACTATCCTCGTAGCAAGGAAAGGTTTTTCATCCAAGCTACGCTGTGTCCAGCGAACACACAAGGTGAATCTCGCGTGCATCGCAGAGCAGCTTGAAAGCGAACACATCTCGATAGAATACGTCCAAACCGACATGCAGTCAGCGGACATCTTCACGAAAGCACTTCCACCCAACAAGTGGGACCATGCCATCCGGTTGCTCGGCATTCGTGTTCACCTTCCAGAGAAGCTTGAAGACGTTCGTGAAAGTAGAGCCGCTAAAGCAGCTGCCTAGTGCGCTGCAGCATGTCTGCAAAATTTCCAAAGTGTGCAAAGTGCCTGGGTGATGCTTGAATAACTTGTGTCAGTCGTTGTGATGTAAACTTGACTTCAAGTTGGCGTGGTAATGCGCCCAAGACACTCCCTCAGTGCCGTCAATGAGGGGGGAGTCAATTATCACGATGACATTTATGGCCCAGAGGTACATGAGGTAGGTTCCCATGTAGTCAGTTGCATGTTGTACATTCAAGTCATTGCGAAAGCATGATTCAATCACTGCTTTGGCTCAAGTGCTGAAAACAGCGCGTTGCACCGCGCTAGCCCCAAGGTTAAGGGAGAGGTCGCAGTCACGGAGGGGTTCGTTCCTTTTAAGGTCCCGGGTTCCCCCGTTGTTGACAAAACTGTGTTTCCCTCTCCTTTGAGTTTTTATGGTTGTTGTTGGGAAACATTTTTCCATTTTTGCTTATGGTGGTTTAGTGGTTGAAATCCCCTTCCACTCAACTGCTAGTTGTTTTATTTGCTCCCCTTGCAACGCCAACCAAGATTCTAGCGGCAAATGCAAGACATTTTTGGACTGTTGGCCAGTCCACTCAGGAAGGTGAATGGAACCCAGCTCAGATTGCATCCCATTTTGACCAAGGAAAAACAGTGCCATCCAACCGTTCCAGGTGCCGTTGTTTTTGTGCATATTATTACCCTATTGGGGCCACCAAACATCCAGTGGTAGTGTTCGATCAGGAGGGATCATTTCCATATGTCCACCAAACCCCCAGGCAAGAAAACCCTCCCTCCAGGTTAAGTTTCTCAGGTCTATGTTCAAAATGCCGCTTTTGGCACAGTGCAGTTCTCGATGCTGGTAGGGTTTAAGGTTCTTGTGGCACTTTGCCTCGAGGGGGGGGAAATCACCCACCCCTGGGTTTAAGTCTACCTGGAGGCAGTCAAAAAGTGAACCATAGTGGGCTTGTCTCACGAAAGGAGTGATTTGAGACTCGATTTTGGCTTGCCCTTTCAAGTCGCCCTACGTCGCGGGACCCTGAATGGGCTCTAGTATATAAACGGGTTTCGCTCGCTTGCACTAAAGAACAATGACACCATGTATCCGCAAGGAGCCCATTTCCTAGAACCGATTAAACTGGCCACCTGTGGATGGACAAAAATCCACTTCACAGTGGATGACAATTCATGAATACCATGTTGGCTTTCTGTTGAACCACCAGGTTGACGTGGCGGTTCCCAGTCGTCCCCTTAGGTTTTGAGAGGTTTAGAGTTTAGTGGTTGGGTTTCCACTTCACCCACAAGTTGAGGTCACTTTTAGCGATCGGGGATGAGAGAACGGACAACTCAGTTGATTCTAGGTCCCCCAGTAGTGCCCTTTTACCGTTTCTTTATTGGGGGAGGTTTCCCCTACTAAAATAGACTACCTGGAGTCTCCATGACCCTTAAAAAATGGGGTCATTACCAAAATAATGGGGGTCATGGACCATTTTTTTTGGATCATGGAGACTCCAGGAACAGAAAAAAGGGTACCCCTATTCTAACCTCTCCACTGGAGGACCTAGGATTTCTGTTGAACACCCAACTGACCACCCATCCTTGCCCATTTGCAGGCGGAGTCTGAAAGCCTGCGGAAGCCCAGGCGTGACTTCTGCCGGGAATCCCTTTTCTTTCCCGGAATTCGGTCCTTTTTTTTGTTTTGCTTTTTTGCTTTTTGGGGTCCTTTGTTTTTCACCAACCAGGCAAAAAAGATCTCTTTTTTTGCTGGGGTCCTAATTCCAGCCTAGTTTTGGATGGGCTGAAAGATCAAACCACAATAAAACCGTTGCCATTTAAGGATGGGTCCAACCATAGGCGAATTCAACAGTCAAATTGTTTCTTGTTGATTTGCGGAAGCCCCATTTTGGATTCTTCTCTCAAGGTTTAGATACTCTTGTGAAGCCAAAGAGACACCAATCCCGATAGGGTACTTGTCGAGCAGAAAGAAACACGAACGCAGTAGAGGCCTAGAGGGAAGTGAGATCCACAGACGCATCCAAAGTTTAACACTTCACATACGCCCAGCCAGGGTTTGTTTGGGTTTAGGGTGGTCAAAACAGGGACCCTTAAAACTGCCCAAGGTGCCGTTTTGGATGTCCGATGTCCGATGTCCAAATTGGTGTTCGGCTTGTTGATTTGCCACGAAAACATTTAAGAAAGAAGCGCAAGGATCTTGAGCAACGAACCGCTTCGGGCTTTGGGATCCATATTTTGGATCTTCCCGACGGGGAAGCATTGTTGGTTACAGGTGGAAAGTCTGGCTGGGGCTTATTGCGACTTAGTGTTTTGCGGCCGGTCAAAAATTAGCGACTCGTCGTTTTTTTGGGGGGACCCGGCAAATCGTCTGGTGTTCCTTTTGGTTTGGTTCCCCTATGCAGGTCGGAGTTTCGATTCTCAAGGCCAAGACTGTAGGCCTCTTGGCCTGCCTTGAACCTTTGAGCGCGCCCTTTTTAGACCGCCGCTGCGGTCTGCCCCCAGCCCCGTGCGGTTTGATTTGGGGTAACCTCAACAAAAAGTCGAGCCAACCCTGCACCTGGTGCAGAACTTTGGTGCATGTTGCCAAGGGATGTTGGGACTTTATAACTTTTTGCCAACGAATTTGGGTTTTCCAGGAAACCACTAAAAGTGAGTCACTTTTGGCAGAGCAGATTTCGCAACCGAGATAAGGGGACTTGGTGTCAAGCGATTTGGCATCACTTCCACCAGCGATCCTGATGCGGAGGGCCTAGCGGCCTAGCAAGTCTGTCATGCTAGCCACTAGCGAGGGCCAGGCTGATTCAAAGTCGGTGTTTTTTCGTCTGACACATGGGATGGGGGGGGGGTTGGGTGGTTTGGTGGGTGGTTTGGGTTGTTTAGGGTTGGTTTGGGTTGGGTATAGGGTTGGTTTAGAGTTGGCTTGGGGTTGGTTTAGGGTGGGCTTAGGGTGGGTTTAAGGTTGGCTGGTTTAGGGTTGGTTTAGGGTGGGTATAGGGTTAGTTTCGGGTTGGTGAAGGGTTGGCTAAGGGTTGGTTTACAGTGGGTTTAGGGTGGGTGTTGGGTTGGCTTAGCGTTGGTTTAAGGTTTATTTAGGGTTTGTTTAGGGTTAGGGTTAAGTGTTAGGGGTGTAGGATTGGTTTAGGGTTGGGGTTTGGGGTTGATTGTGGGTTGAGTTGTCAGTTGTCCTACGTGTCGGGATGCAAGGGTGCGAGTTCAGGGGAGTCTGGGGACCGTAGCAGCAGGGTGTGGGCTCCGGGCTCGGGGTTGAGCCGCAAAAATGGGGAACAAAACCCTACCCTTGGGGGGGGGGGGGGGGTTGGTGGCCTGGGGACTGGAAAAAGAAATAATATATATATATATATATGTATATATATATATATGTATACGTGTATGTATTCGACAAATATGCAAACTTGTATATACATAAGACCAGTACACATATTGATGTACACGACTTGTGCGGTATTCAACCGCAGGTCGACCAGGGCAGCGCTTCTCGAGAAGCGCTTCGCCGCTCTCACACGGGACCGGGGAGTGAGACTGTCTTTGGCTATAACTGCTCCCATTTGCTGAACAATATGAGTCATGTTCCTCTGTCTTTTCTTCAGGGAATCTATCACTAGTGGAATTGTGGTTTTCTTTCTTTTTCCAGGGGACTTAAGCAAATGGAAGATTGGGAGTCCTCCCCAAGGCATGTTGTGGATTTCTGGGTTCTAAATAGCCCCTGGCCCATGTTTTACTTCCCTAAAGGAAACCAAACAGGGAGGGATGTGGTTTGTTTTTTTCCACCCCTTATGTAAAAGAGCATCCACATGTTGTGCCTTATATGTTGTTCAAACCACGGGGAATTGTGGACAACCCTTCCGGGCGTGTTGCCGAGACCTATGTGGTCTTTCTCATGTTCGATGGGTGAACCGGCCCTGGCAGGTTTGGGTTTCTTGGCGAAGCCAAGCATTTGGGTCAAAACCAATGGGTCACCCATCTTGGTTGGTAGGTGAATTCACCACCCATTTTAGGCTTCCAAATTTTACTGGGGATTTGGATGTTTAACCGATTTGGCTTTTGACCCACAGCCATGTGGTGGCGAAGCCAGCCATCCGGTTAGCTTTGTAGATCCTTTCAGTGTTTAGTGGCTGGATTTCAATTCAACCCACTAAAAGTTCCTTAGCTTTTTAGATCCTTTTAGTGTTCAGTGGCTGGATTTCAATTCAACCCACTAAAATTTTCGCGGGGGGTCGATCCGAAAACGGGCAGCCCAGTTATTTTCAGCAGTGCCCCTTCAAGGAGACTCAGTTGTCCAGCGAAGCGACGTTTGACCTAGTTTCCCAAGTTTGGCCCATTTTTAGTTATGGCCCCAAAAGTTTTTAGTTTGTTTAGCCCCAAAAGTTTTCTTTAGTTTTTAGTTAGTCATTTTTAGTTTGGAAAACCGTTTATTTCTAGGTCCTTTGGGTAAGTGAGGGAAAGCAAACACGACATGTCAGCAATAGATGAATTGGCGGTCGACTTGATCTGGGTGAATTATAGTTACCTCACACAACCAAAATTCCCAAATGGTGGTTTATGTGGGGAATAGCCCCCCAACCACCAAACATTTCAGGTTTGTGAAATATATTGAAATCGTATGCTGCAACAGGTTCGACCTGAACGCACAGCAGCACGGCCAGCTTTCACCTTTGTGCCTGGACCAATGCTTCGAAACAAGCGGGTGGCTCGGAATCTGAATGCGGCTGCGGCAGCTGAATCACCCAACAAGGTGTCAACATCTTCCCATGAGAAGGAGTATGATGACACTAATCCCGTGGCTTGACAAAATGCGTGCCGTCTGGGAAGGACCATCGATGCAAGGTGCGAAGAGCAGGAATAGCGCCTACAGAGGTTTTGGGGGGCACCGACCCGCCCTGGCAAGAAACAAGGTGCAGCTTTCAGGCGTTTAAAGGCCAGAAGCCCTAAGCCATGGTCAGTGGGACCTAGGCCCCTTAGAGAGGTGCCCTTCCCCTTTTTTGGTGCCCCTACGAAAATAGACAGAACAAAGTTGGTATCATTATTCTAACCTACCTCTCTACTGGAGGACCTAGGGACATGTCCCCGTGCAGCCCTCCAGAAACCCATGGAAACGGCCGGTTTTCGAAAAGAACGATGGTTGGAAATAATGGAGAATCAACCCTTTTTGGAGTGAATGTTGTCAACTGGGTCCCCCAGTAGTGCCCTTTTACCCTTCTTTTGGGGAGGGTTCCCCTACTAATATAGACTACAGAAAAAAAGGGTACCCTTTTTCAACTGGAGGACCTAGAGACTTGAAACCAAGAGTCTTTGGGAAATCTGGTGGGTTTCTTGGGGGAACCAATCGGGTTTTATGGCCCCTTCATGCTTTTTGTTTTTGTCACTTTTGCTTATCGTGGTTTAGTGGGAATTCCCCACTTAACTGCTTTTTATTATTATTCCCCTTCCAACGTCAACCAAGTCTTTGGGGGGTTCTTACAAGCAGACGAGCCACCGAGGCCGAGCGCCTCCGCGGCTTTGTCCGAAGTTTCGGCGAAGGCCGGGAAGAGAACCCAGGCCTAATGGGAGGTGATGAAAATGGGTACCCCCTACTCCAGATACCCGTTTTTTTAAAGGGTATGTTTTAACCTGGGTTGCAGTAGAGGGTCGGCATCATACCCTAAAAAAAGAGGGTATTTGGAGTAGGGGGTATTTGTCTCCTTTTGGAGTTGGTACTCCTTTTTGTTAGTTAGTTTTCAAGGGAAACCAAGAACGAGCAAAACACCACCCATTTTGAGGGGTCCCCCAAAAACAGACACACCCAAATGGCTATGTCTTTTTAGGCCCCCCCCCCGGAAAAAAAGAGAGAAAGAAGGCGGTTTCTTTTTGGCTTGCCCAAGCAAAACCACCCAAAAAGGGGTATACCCTCAGAAAGAGAGAGAGAGAGAGACAGGAATCGGTCCCGTATGGATTTGCCGCATGTGGTTTCCCAAATGCAAAGTAAGAAGGGTCCGTGGTTCGCAACATGTGTGAAAAATAGGGATGGTCCCCAAATACGTGGCTCAAGTCTTTGAGATGATCTTCAGGATGCTTCCTTTCCAGTGACTTTTTTTCACCCCAAGGTTCCCTGGCATCACAGCGGGACTTTCCATTTTTTTTCTCCCACCGCCGGAACAAATTGAGCGGCGACCCCAAGATTTGAGCAAGACTCACAAAGATGGGTGACCACCGAAAACCAAGACTCCTCTCATAAGAAATCCAACTTACCCCCGCCCCGGAACCTCCAAACCCACTTTTTCTAGGGTATTTTTTGGAAAACCGATCGGTTTTTCAAGGTAAATACCTCTTTTTTTTTAGTAGAGGGTCGACATGATACCCTTTACATCTGGGGTAGACTTAGGATGCATTTTACATTTTACGAGCGACTCAATGTGAAGCAAACACTAAATCTAAAATATACATTCTACAACTGGGCCTGACTCTAATCTGTCATAAGACTCCAACTTATCTTCCCTCGGTCAATTTACTTCAGGTAAATGGTGGCCGAGGCTTGCAACATGCTTTGCGTTTGCCACCATAGGTTCCCTTGGCCTTGGGTAAAAGGTTCTTGGTCGTCGTTTCCCAATTGAGATCGCAGGGTCTCTTGGAATGCCTTGTGATTGTACACGCCCGCGATGGTGCACGCCCGGAACTGGTCAAATAGTTGGTTTTGCAGCTTCCGTTTGCTTAAGAACATGTTCTAGTTTTCCCTTGTTAGTTTTAAAGGGAATCTATCGCTACTGGAAATATATATATATATATGTTTCTCCTTTCGCTTGTTGGTTTTAAGGGCAATCTATCACTACTGGACATATTGATTGTTTTTCTTCTCCTTTCCCTTGTTGGTTTTGAGGGGAATGTATCACTAATGGACATATAGTTTGTTTTTCTTCTACTTTCCCTGGTTGGTTTTAAGGGGAATCTATCACTACTGGACATATGGTTTGTTTTTCTTCTCCTTCCCTTGTTGGTTTCAGGGGGATGTATCACTACTGGAAATATTGTTTGTGTTTCCTCTCCTTTCCCTTGTTGGTTTTGAGGGGAATGTATCACTACTGGAAGTAGTGTTTGTGTTTCTTCTCCTTTCCCTGGAAAGGGTGTTTTTTTTTGCCTAGCCCTGGCACAGGGCCAACCCTGGCAGGTGCTTGGTTGGTTGGTTGGTTGGTTGGTTGGTTGGTTGGTTGGTTGGTTGGTTGGTTGGTTGGTTGGTTGGTTGGTTGGTTGGTTGGTTGGTTGGTCGTCGGGGGGTTGGTGGCCCAACACGCATACGCCCCCCTGCCAGTTCGAGACCAAGTTCATGTGCGAACTCGAGCCGTGGAAAGCCAAGTGGGCAGAAAAGGCCTTCAAGCCAAATTTCTTCTTCAAAGACATGCGGGATTTGCACCGGTTCAGGCCCTGCATCGTTTTAACATCCTCAGCATCGTTTTCAACATCCTCGGCATCACCAGGTTTTGTTTTGGGCTGGGTTTAGGGTGGGTTCTAGGTTGGCTCAGGGTCGGCTCTCGATGGGTTCCAAACCTATTGAGAGCAAATTTGGGGGTGGCTGTGCTTGCAGCAGATGGTTTAGTGCTGGTTTATGGTGGGGCTTCTTGGGGTTGGTCTCAGGTAGGTTTAGGGCTGGTTTCGGGTGGTTTTAAAATTGGCTGCAGCCATGGCTGTGTTTAAGCCCACTTGGGTAGTTTAAAGGGAATCTATTGCTACTGGAAATATGTTTTTTTTTTTTCTTCTCCTTTCCCTTGTTGTTTTTTAAAGGGAATCTATCGCTACTGCAAAAAGTGTTTGTTTGCTTTTCTCCTTTCCTTTGTTGGTTTTAGGGGGAACTTCTGACTATTGGACATATTGTTTGTTTTTCTTCTCCTTTCCCTTGTTGGTATGCAGGGGAATCTATCACTACTGGACATATTGTTTGTTTTTCTTCTCCTTTTCCTTGTTGGTTTTGTAGGGAATCTAGTTCTACTGGACATAAACAAATCGATATATATATATATATATATATTTGTTTTCAGGGGGAATAGCACATGTTTCTTGTAAAGGGAATCTATCTCTACTGGATTTTTGTTTCCAGGGGCTTAGCAAATGGAAGGCAGGGGTTCATCACACCCCCTACTCCAAATACCAACTTGTTCTAGGGTCTTTTTGGGAAAAACCAGGGTTTTCAAGGTAGATACCGATCCCTTTTGTAGCAGAGGGTCGACATGAAGCCCGAGAAAAAAGAAGCCGGGTATTTGGAGTCGGGGGTATCACTCTTGAGGCTTCTGAACTTAAACAACCTCCATTTGCTTAAGTTCTATTATTATTTGCCCCTGTTGGTTTTAAAGGGCATCTATGACTACTCTTTGGTGCATTTTGCTTGGCTGTTAGAACTTTAACTTTTTGCTAACTGATGGGTTTTCCACTAAACCACTAAAAGTTAGTCACTTTTAGCAGGGGAGCAGATTTCGCAACCGAGTACTGGTATTTGGAGTCGGGGGAATACGATCAGCCTTTGCTTTCACGGCCAGGCGGACTGCCGGCGCCCATCTCCGAAGCGGCGCTGGAGCCGCCGCCCTGCACCCAGTTGCGCCTTTGCTGGCGCCCGAAAGTGGTAGCATTTGGGGCGTTAAGGGGCGAAATATAATTCAAGTACCAATAGGTGTCTTTCGTATTTTGGTTCCAAATTTTGGCAATTTGGGCTAAGTTTTCCCATTATAGTCGTCTTCTATTTGGCTAAAGTTGTTTTGAAAGGAACCCGCAGGCCCTTAGAGCAGGAGAACCGAGCCAAAACGGGTTGCAGGGGAGCGGTAGGTTTTGCGCTCCTTAGTGCCGAACAAAAGGCAGTTCCCCTCAAAATGGCTGTGAACTGGGTTATTTATGGCTTCTGTTTAAGCAAAGAACCTATGTCTTCCTTGTGCCCACTATGCACCGAGATGGACGAGTCATTCGCATCGTATCTGGGTGAGGTATAAAGACCTCACACGACCTCACCCCCAATGGTGGTTTATTTCAGGCTGGTGAAATATTTTAATTCACCCAGATTGTATCCTAGGGCAGGTCCGCTTGGTAGGGGTTGCAAGATGAGTTTTGACAGGGCTTTTGACGGACCGCTATGTCAAGCCCAAGCGAGCTGAAACAGAGGTGACTCGCCAAAACGGCAAATGCAATCCTGACTTCACCAAGAGGCGGATGCAACCTTACCTATGAAGGTTTCTTTCCTGGATTCCAGCGAGAATTGCGGATTACACTTCACCCAGAATGTCGCAATTCAGGATATATATATGTCTAAATATATATATATATATATATGTACACAATCTAATGCCGATTGTGAACCCAGCTCGGCAACAGGTCGGTCGCCTTTCTGAGGCCCAGCAGCCCATCTCTACAGCCGCGAGATGCGGTTGAGGGCATGGCCGAGGCGCGGTCTGAGGGTTTGGACATGACCCTTTTGATCGTTTTCCAAGAAAAGGAATGGCCTTGCGACCTCCGACTGGAATGGCAGGCGCAGGCAAGCAGTCTGAGACACCCTAAATTTCCTTGCCCCCATTGCAAGAATGGCCTTGCGACCCAATTCAGATGACAATCCTTACGTAAACAATGATGGTTACGCAGGGCTTCTTAAAGGATACATGTTGCCCATTTGAAACATGGCTTTTTCCACCAAAATAAAGGGACACCGCCATTGACAAGGCAATGCTCAGGTGTATAATGTAAGGTCCCTGCCTTAATGGTGGTTTGAACCCCAGGGAACATGAGTCAGGTTAATGCTTTGACCTTGTTCCTGCCATGGGCAAATTTGCCATGGAGCCCACAAAAAACTGGAAATAATAGGATTTTGCTTGGTTCCACTGGTTCCACCTTCATTTGCAGAGTAACTTCTGATGATTGACCAAATTGCTTAATTCAGCATCCCACAAGGGAAGCATTCTATCTCCATTTTGTTTGGCTTCGCACCAAAGCAAGAGGTTCTAAGTTTTGGGCCTGGTGCAACCGGGCCTAGAAGCCAATCGTTTGGAGCTTTTGTGTGCGGAAATTGTGCCAATGGGCCGCTTGATGGGCCCTTTCTCTCCGATGTTATGTGGTATGAAAATGGGTAGTAATATACTGCTTCCTCGTTGTTGGGTTGACCAGCAGCAGCAAGTGAGGCGTTTAACTTCCTTTAGTACGAATTTGGAGCAGCGTAAGTACGATATGGGAGGCTTTCAGTTTGTTGCGAGTCCCATGTGCAATGCTTCGCATTAGACAATGGAAGTAGGGGACATAGAGTCGTTTGAAATGCAGGAAGGCAACGCCAATTTTCAACTGGCCTCAATTCGCTTCCGGGCGGGGAATGTATTCTATAGGCATGGACATGTTGATTGAGCACCGAACACTGGGCAAGGAAGAGCAATGTGGAGGGCGAAACCGATGCCCAAATGGACAACTCGATTCGGGGACAAGAACATTGTGAGGAAGTATCAGCAGACAAACATGCCCTCTGCAAGCATTTGGACTACCGTCTACACCTCATCCAATTTGTTTTTTGTCACTAAAAACCATTGAGAGCTAAGAGCCGTCAGCATGATCTTGGCAAGCGACGACAGCTCGCTCGGTCTGTTTCAATGTGCACCTGAGTTGTGCGTCTTGGATGGCGCCTGGAGTTGTGCGTCTTGGATGGCGCCTGAACATGTGGAACCCGTGAAGATGTTTGTTGCCTTGCTCTCCTCGGCAAGCAAAAACGACAGGCCGAATTGCTTGCGTCAATTTTCCGCAGAGGCTAATCTGCAGTAATGTCTTCCACCTTGCATAACCCCCCTATATACTCCAGATACCCGCTTTGTTTAGGGTATTTTCGAAAACCCGGGTTTCCGGAAGGTAGTTACCTCCTTTTTTAGTAGAGGGTCGGCAGCATACCCTAAAAAAGGAGGGTATTTGGAGTAGGGGGACTCAGCCATAGACAGTGCCGCACTCACTGTATGGATCATGCTTCAGCGAGTGCAAGCTTTCACTGCTGCATGCCTGTGGCAAAGCTGTGTTGACCGAGCAACAGCGACCTGTGTTCTTTCGTGGTGAGGTTTGCTAGATATTCCAATTCCGTTTAGGGAAGAGGGCAACAGCCCTGGTTGTTCTCCAACTGTTGCTGATGTACCTGCAGGGTACTCCTCAGATTGACATGGAACCCAAAAACATCATTTCTAGCTTCCATTTGGCTAAGAATATGTTTTTTCCCTGTTGGTGTTAAAGGGAATCTATCACTACTGGATTTCGTTTTCTTCCCAGGGGACTGAAGCAAATGGTCTCCCTTTGGGGCTGGGTGCTATCGCCCGCCAAGTTTCTCAGGCGCCTGATTTGCGGAACATGTCCTTCGAAGACTGGCTTGCTGCTCGGCCACAGGTTCCATGCGCCACATCCAACACCTGGATGGAAGCTATTGAGCAGGGGACAGTCCCCTGGCCAGTGATATTCGCCCTTCCGGTTCTTAACGTCTTGAGCAGACTTGTCACATACCAGGCTTGATCATGACTCGTGTATCCCTCTGGTGCAGAGTGCTACCAAGGCTGCTTTGGACACATCCGGTGCAGCACTGTGCTACGTGTCTGCCGCTGAGCAGTGTGTCTTGGCGCACAGCAGACTTGGCATGTCGCCCAGCGTAGGCTTCGCGGAGAAGAAGCCCCGTCAGAAACCAAACGCGGAGTTCTGTTCGCGTGGCCTCAGCTCCTGGTTGAATTCCTGAACAGCACTCAGGTGGGAGGATGTCATGTCCCTCCACGGAACATGACTCGACTGAGATGCTAGCAATACCACCCAAACAAGCGTCCAACGAATGGGACTTGGATGGACTTGGGTGGTGTTAAAAGGAAACTTACATGCTCCCTAGCAATGGACGCATCTTCCAGCGGCAAATTCCTATGTGTGTCTTTCATGTGTTAGTTTGACACGGGAGACAGTTGACAAGAGGGTGTTGCTCGTTGCGTGTAAGACTGTGTGATATGGCCGACTCTTTGCGTATGTCGACTCCAAACAGACTGCCTGAGGTTATGACACGGTGGCTCAAATTGCTCAGACCTACACCCTCGTGGCTTCTCGGCAGGCAACTAGAAGACGGGGTCCCAGTTGACGTTGCCTTCGGTTTGAGGTTGGGAAAAAGCCAGACAAACGCACAGACCAAGATACGCACTTCCAGCAAACCCAACATTTCCTCGGATTCCCGGGTTGGCGTAGAGAATGCCAGACATTGACCTTTTTGAAGAAAGGCGGCCAGGTGTTTCCCTTTTGAGTGGGCGACGAATGTATTTCAAGGGCGACGTTTGCCACTTGCGTTGCAAAGTGGATGTCAGGGCTTCTCTCCTTCTCCTTCTCCTGTTTAAAACCAAGTTGGACGGAGCTCCTTGGCACACCTGGGTTTGTCTCTCTCTTTTTGGGGGGACCCCCCAAATTTGTTTGTTTCCTTTTGGTTTCCCTTTAAACCAAACCCAACTGGATGGCTTTGGTGAGGGAGCCCCAGGCAAGGAGTTGTTTTCGGAACTTGCGGAGACTTGCTCCTCTTTTTTTGTGGCTAGGTAGCCTTTTTTGGGGTAGTTTTCACGCGAACCCAAGGGGAAACCACTGATTGGGGTTCCTGAGAAGAAGACCGCAACACATACAAATGTATCAAAACAGGAATTTGGACCTCAACAAATGGGGTTTCCTGTCGGAGTCTCTTTTGGCGTAGTTTCTGGTTTCTTGAGGAAGCGCGTGACACGGCGAGAAATATCGCAAACTGATAGACTAGCGGCCGAAACTTTGGCAACGTGGGATTTGGCTTTGGGGCTGCTGCGAGAAGCGCACATCAGAACCCCAGCCGAGTTTGTTTGATGTGCCACGCTGGGCCTGTCACGAACTTCATTCTCGCAGCCCTTCACCACAAGCAGAGAGGAAATTAGATCATGTAGTGCCAAAATGTCCTCCCGGGCCAAGCATTACAGATGGCCATAAAACTGGTTTCCCCCTATGGTGCGACGGTCAGCCGTGACACCCCTCAGGTCTTGAAATCGATGCAAAGGGTGTTCAGCCGGGCTAGGGCCCAGACTCGAGCCCGTGTAAACCGCGCTTGTTCAAACAACCTCTTTTGGCCCGGATTCGGATCTCTTGACATGGAAAAAGGCGGGGTCCAGGACTCCAAGATGTAAACCGATTTGGGCAAAGTGTCCCTGAGACTGAGGGGAACGGATCGAGTCTGCTTTGAAGCAGTGTGCGTCTTTTTTTTTAAAGGAAAATGGCCTCATCCATGTTGGTTGACCAGCAATCGTCCGAATTTGCCAACTAAAACCCCAGGACAAGACGTCCAACGAGAAGTCCCTGGACCCGCTGCTTTTCAGCGACCTGGAGATTTCGGAGGCTCACAGGCGGGCGCAAGCGACCTCTGTGAGGGCCCCCTCAGGGCGACCTAAGGCACCCGTTTGGAAAAAACATCAGGAGCCGTGTTTCTTGAAGAGCAATGTTGCGGAACACAAGGGGTCATCTGGTTGGACACTTGGACACCCATCAGGCAGGTACCCCCTACTGCAAAGACCCACTTTTTCTGGGGTATTTTTTTTGGGAGAAACCTTGTTTTTCAAGGCAAATACTTTCTTCTTAGTAGAGGGTCGGCATGATACCCTACAAAAAGTAGGTATTTGGAGTCGGGGCATGACGGGTTTGAGTCCGACAAGCAATGATGACAGGGCGACACTTGAAAAGTAGAAGTAACGTGCCGCTGTAAGTAGGCCGTCCTGTTCAAACCCGGCAAGGCCGCTAGGGGTCACATTGACTCAATGCTGACCTGCTGATCTCTGCCGCCTCTCCTGCACGCACAGCTTTAAGGCGTTACTCGCTAGACTGGGAAAACACGAATTTTACACCTGCGGTCCTAAGACAGTCAGAACATGTATTTTATCAGGCCCTGCTTGCCAGAAATCTCAACAGGAGCCAGTCGCCTAGGTGCCATCCCAATGAGTATCTCACGTCATGGGAGGGATTCGGTGCTTGCAAACCTCCGTCGGCTTGTCAAGGTGGTGTTCTTTGGCTGACCTGCCGTTCCGCCAGAAAAGAAACAATAAAAAACAACTAAAACATGTTTTCTTTTTTTTAAGGGGTGCAACAAAAGTGTGCATTGGATCACCCCGCATGCTTGCTGGCTGATTGGACAACCCCACTGGACATGGTGTATACCTGCTACTCGAAGCTCGTGGCCGTGCACCCTGACTGCTTGTCACCTAGTGGACAGGCAGCTGGTGCCGCGAAAAAAATCGGGGGACCCCTACTAGAGCTAGGTGCCCTTTCTCCCCCCTTTTTTGGGGTTGGGTTCCCCTACTGAAATAGACTACAGAAAAAAATCGGTTGCCCTTATTCTAACCTCTCTACTCTACTGGCAAACCTAGCCTACAATGGTTGGGTTTTCCCCGCACGCGCCTCTTCCCCAAGGGCGCCCTCAAGAAACCACAGCCCCCAGTCGATGCGCCAGGCCGCTGTTCACGCGGTGGTTTGTCAACGTCTGCGGCGTGAAGGCAATGGAACCCGTTGATTCTGCCGCACCTGGGCCGTAGGATCTCACCCACCCTATGCCCCCCCCCTTGGCTGTTTCCAACAACTTGGGCGACGGATGAATTCAACCAGGAGCTATCTGCCTATGTTATAGCGAGCTCTGCGGGTAGAACGAGCTCACCATGGCAACAGGTCCTCTTGGGGATCCAATTCGCAACTCAGCTTTTGGACTTGTCATTTGCAGATCAATGGTGAGCCACTTTAGAAACACCCACCTAAATAGGAAAATGTGTCATGCAAATCACCAACATGGTCTACTGACTTGTTGTAGGGGGAAAGGTCGCCGCGGCGGTAAACTTGGAGACCCTCATTTTGGGCGTCAAGGATCGGGGGCGGATTTCGAGAGGCAGCTCTGCAGGCCTTTCCTGAAATTCGGAGCCGATGTCGCATGCCCAAACCGGACCCAGTCCGAATTTCTTATTCAGGCAGTCTTTGTTTGTTTCACCCAGCTGGTTCACTCTGCAGTATCGCCATTGCGGGGCAGGTGCTTGCAGATAGAGTACGTGTGTGTCACCTCACTAGTTATAATATCTGGGTGAATTAAAACGACCTCACACGACCGAATTCACCCCAAATGGTGGTTTATGTGGGGAATAGCCCCCAAACCACCTTATTTCAGGCTGGTGAAATATTGTAGTTCACCCAGATAATATATGATTCTCACTTTAACATGACTGCATCGCGCATGGCACGGCTGCCAAAGCAATGTATCAGAGCTTCAAGCCCAGCAAAGAAGACGCGCAGACATGCGTGAAATGCCATGATTTTGCTGAGGTGAGGTTTGAATTAGACCTCAGTTGTTCAGTGGCACCCTTTTTCCTTTTGTTGGGTGACTGCCCCACTAAAAATGCTCTCCCGAAAAAGGGTTCCCTTTTTTTCCAGGGTCCCTGAGCAACTGAGAGACAGAACAGCTCATGATTCGGCCAGATTCGTCAGAAGCCAGCTGAGCCACAATCAAAGGCCGGGTAAATGAAGGTTAGTAAGGGGCAATCCCAGCCAGAAATGGGTTGCGGCCGTTTCAATTCCCTACATGGTTCTGGGTTCATCGTTTTTGTACCAGGTGTTGATTCTGACTCAGCTGGAACTTTGTCTGATTGGCTCGCCTCATGACCGTAGAAAGTCTTTGAGCCTAGGATCGACAGGGACCCAAATGTCCTCCAAGTCAACTTGAGCATATGAACCTGAATCTTTGTGTGGTCCCTTCAAGAGGCTTTGCAAATTCCTGGGTGAGGGATCAAGAGGCACATCTACCGAGATTTCAACATGTTAAGAGGGAGAGCACACTTGCAGATGTGTCATGAGGTGTCGCATTGTTCACCAACATAACCTCGCATCCAAGTGCCACTTGCTTGTTCCACATGGTCAGTTGTGGGTTTTCCGAGTTATGATCCACCCAGATAGTAGCTATCCAAGATAAACCACCGACAGATCAGAAGGCGTTTTTTCTTTTGTGCCTAAGCATCACCAGACTTATCTTACCTTTCAGTTGGTTGTCTTTTAACTTTTAGTTGGTTGGTTGTTTCCTCCCATGTTTCCTTTTTCGCCTTAGCGTGAGCTCTTTGCAGTGTGCTCAAGTGGGAACCGTTCCCAGGGAAAGCGCCAGACGGAGGTTGGCCAGAGGCGCCCTCCAGAGGCTCTCCGTCCAGCCAGGTGCCAACTTTAAGCCCCTGGTTTGGGGGGGGGCTCCCCGACGAAAATAGACAAAGGGGACCTAGGTCCCCCAGCCAGGTGCCCTTTCTCACCCCTTTGTTGGGGGAGGGTTCCCCTACTAAAATAGACAGAAGCAAGTTGGTACCATCTTATTCTAAGCTCTCGACTGGAGGACCTAGAGGATGGGCGCAGTAGCTTCTAGTTAACCCACTAAAAGTTGGTCACTTTGAGCGGGGGATCTCATAAAACCGCCCAGCAAAGGCTTTCCGTTTCTTGGGATGGAGGTTCCAACTCCGAGTTGGCGCCAGGCCTAGCAACGGACTGCTTCCAAGCACTGGCCCGCGCTGAGTCACCGCGCGGCAAGATCTGCGGATTTGGTCGAGTTGGACGCCTTCCATGGGGCGTTCCACTTGATGGTACCGAAGACGGGCCCAGTTCTTCTCGTTGCTCCATTTCTCCATTCCCCGCAGATCTCTCGCACCAAGAACTCTCCACCTCTCCACTTCCCCAGAACTCGCTCCCCCTTTGTTTTTTTTTGCTTTTTTTGGTTGGTCCCTTTGCTGGGGTCCGATTTTCCAGCCTAGTTTTGGGGAGGTGTAGGTGTATACCCCGACTCCAAATACCCGCCTTTTTTTTGGTATGATTTGTCGACCCTCTACTAAAAAGGGGATCGGGATTTACCTTGAAAACCCAGGTTTTTCAATAAATACCCTAGAAACAGGTATTTGGAGTAGGGGGTATGGCTGTGGGTCAAAACCCTGTACCCCTGGTGAACATCAAAATAGGTTGCACATAGGTGTTCATCCGCCCCAAAATAGAGGCATAGGTTTTGACCCAGGGCCAAAGGGCTATGAGTTTGAATGGTTGGACCCCCCTGAAAAGTGGTTGGGTGGACATACATCGGGATCCACCTAAATGATGTCCACCATTCCGGGTCTTCTGGGTCCCTAAGGAAAATTCACAGCCGTATATAGGGGATTAACAGAAACAACCGATGCTGAGGATCCGATTCCTATCTGGAGACCCACTTGAACCACACGCAACAATTGGGTAAGTGAAGGTTAGAAAGGAGAAAGGGCGAGTCCCAGCCATTTATAGGTGCGCATATGTGCCCTCTTGGTTCTGTTCGCGACCCACAGTTGAAAACTGTCTTTTTGACTCCCCCTTAAGGCCATCCGGGCTGACTGGAAGAACGCCTCTCGATTCCTCTTTTAAAACCATCCAAGAGGGGGCTCCCAAGTGTTCGAGTGCTCCGGAGAAAGATCAGGTCAGTTGCTCCTGCAAGTGGAGAGATGCCAAGTGTTCTAGCTGATGGGGCGAGTAAAGTGTAGATCCATTTTGTTTCAACTATGCCCTTTTTGTTTTCTACAAACTCTTCAAACACCACCCGGGTTTCTAGGGGTACCTTCCCCATTCTTTCTAGGGATCCTTCTTTCTGGAAAACCTTCAGAATCCCTGGGAAAACGGATTGAAAAGAATGGAAAAGGAATCAAGCCCTAGAAGCTTGGTATTAGTTGCAAGCTAGGTGTACTCCTGGCGCTTTCCCCGCAGCCTTGCCATCGTTGACACGTTGCAATAGAACTCCTCGGATGGGTTGAAAGGGACACCAAAAGGAGACCCAGTTGGTCTACTTCCCCAGAATTCGCTCCCCCTTCTTTTTGCTTTTTTTTGCTTTTTCTTTTTTGAATTGGTCCCTTTGTTTTCCACTCACCAGGCCAAAAGGATCTCAAGTTTTTTGCTGTCCGATTTTTCCCGCCGAGTCGAAAGGGATCCAACCAGATGCTCCAGTTGCCACGAAAGCCGTAAGTCAAGACAAGCGCTTGTAGAAGCAGTCCTCGGTCATTGCCCCCGGCGGCCCGGGCTGGGGAATGCAGTCACCACTCTTTGCTCCAGTGGGAGTTAGAAAGTGTGATCCTTTTTCAGGCATGGGCGCTGATTCGTTTGAAACCCATTCGACTCGGAAGTGGACATTAGAACTTTGATTTTTTGCCAACTAATGGGTTTTCCATTAAACCACTAAAAGTTAAACTTTTGGCAGGGGAGCATAAAGCAAGCGCGGATTCGATTGAAACCCATTCGACTCGGCGGGTGGAGACGCTGCCAAACAGAAAGCTTGAGCCGCTTCGCTCCGACTCTCCTTGCCTTCGGCCCAGCCAAACCCGCTTCGTAGATATAATGTTTCAATATTTGGCGATAGGAGGAGGCGCATCTGGCATTGCAGCCGGATCATTACATCATTTTTATGGTGCAAATGACATCCATGCGGCCTTTTCGGGGAACCAAACAAAGAAACCAAGCAGCACCAGCGGCGCCTGTCTTGAGCTCGTTGGCTTTGGGTTTTGTGGACCAACACAACTAGGTCCCCCAGGTGGCCTTTCTCTCCAACTTCGGTTGGGAGATTCGGTTCCCCTACTAAAATCGACTACAGCAAAAAAACAATCATCGGGTACCCTTATTCTAACCTCCCAAACTGGACGACCTCAACAAACCCAACTGACTTGTCAGCGCTGACAAAGCGGCCCGTGCTTCAGGTCTCGCCGGGAAGCTGCCAAAGATGCAGCGGAAAAAAAGAGACAAGTCATGTCACGCGTGACGGAAACAAGGCGCCATCGGGTAGGTAAGTTTTGCCAGGCGGACGGTTGCATTAAAGAAAAGCAACGAACATTCAGACCCTAGTCCATGTTGGAAAACGAAACGGATGATGGTTTTGTGAAGAATTGAATATCTTCATGACTGGTTCCTGCTGCGAAACCATTGGTGGGTTCCATGTATGTTGGGAGGGTAAGTGGTCGGACTCTTCGCATGGTTGCTTTTCTGAAACCAACCGTTTTTGTGGGGTTCCCATGAATCTTGATGCCTGGTATTTGAGCCACGAATAACACATATGTCCAATAGGGGAGGGTCTCCAGCTTCATGGCTTCCGCCCGATTTCTTGCTTGAGCTCTGGGAAATCTTGCCTGTCTGAGCTCACCATGAAGGTCCTGATGCAATTCTTAGTTCGGGTCTTGGAAGTATCATAACATGTGGGGGTGCGCCTCAAAATGAAAGAGCTGGGGTTGCGCAGGTTTTAGTTTTAGTACATTTGTTTGAGCCACAGCCATTGGGTGAATCTTTTATGTCGGTATGGGCAGACTGCAGACGCCGCGCGACTCGCAGGACAACACCGCCTACATCGTGGCTGGCTCCCGATCCTGCTCAGGCACCGAGGTGGAGTGGTGCGCCCGGCCAAAGTTGTGTCGCTTTTTCGGCAGCTTGGTGGCTCAACCAGCCATCCGGTTCACCGGTTCAGTAGGTTTTGGGTTGGTGAAAGGCGGTTGGGTGACCATTTAGCCCACTAAAAGATGGACAGGCCAGTTGGGGGTGTCTTCTTTTGAGGCTCGGCACCCTTTTCTGGTCGGATTGAAAGGGAAAGCGACATCCATTTTGGTGTCCCCTTTTTTGAGACAACCCCATTTAATGCAGTGCCACCTACTATAATTGGATTGTTTCCAGAATCACTGGTTATTGCGATTTCTGTGCGTGTTCGCTTGATGATGAGTGCTGTGGCTTTGCTCAATTCCCACTGAAGCACCGCTCAGTTGCGATTTATGTCGGCTCAGGTGGGACAGCACGAGAATGGCCGCAGGAGAGTAAGACTTGCTCCATCATACCAGACTAGTTTCTACTTTTGTGTTCACTCGGAACATCTTCTAGGTCCCCCAGTGGTGCCCTTACTACCCTTTTTTGGCCCTGATTCTATCCTCTCTACTGGCGGACCTAGTCTTGGCCTCAGGAGGTGTAAGGCCGTCTTTCACCCCACTCATCTGGCCAGAAGTTGCGGGTGAACAAGGCACCACAGGCTTGGCCATTGAACAAGCCGGCTCGTCGCACCAAGCTGCGGTAAATTTAATTCGGCAGCCCACCGAGATTGGGTTGAGGGTGGTTCCCACAGTCGCTGTATGCCGAGAAATTACCTTGCACCAGTTTTCCCCCTGAAACAGCTGGTTTATATGAGTCATGTGCGCCATGTAGGGAAGCCAACCCGTTTTTGTTTTCAAAACTGGTGGCCGTTCTCGTCTTCTCGTCTTCTCGGCCAGGGACAAGTGCCAAGACAGCTTGCCCTCCTGCGACCACTGCGTGCCCCAAGATTGCCAGCCGGATACCCCAGAGGCCCAGAGGTCTTTGCAGACTCGGGATATCGCATGGATAGAGAATCAGAGTGCTTGGAGACAGCAGGATTTGTTTTTTGTAACCTATAAACAATAATATGTAGTTTCTGAATGATCCTTGTTGGGCTCAACTTGTATGCGGCTTTGATTTTGCGGTTTGGATACTCAAATCTCAATTCATTTTTACGTGGTGATGGGGCACAGCCGACAGCGAGCGGCTCAGGTGTGCTGGCCCAGAGCTTCCTCGGCCGTAACTTAGGCAACTTTTGTCAACGGCCGGTTTCAACACCCCGGAACCAGGCAACGTAAAAAGCCAACCCGTGGTTTTTTTTTCGGCCTCCGTAACTCGAACGGCCTTTGGACTCCCTGGGATTGGTCGACTTGAATGTCTAGCGGCTTGCCGATCGAGGTTTGCTCAGTGGGGTCAGTGGTACGATGCTGGAGGACGGGCTCGCTCACGGCGGTGTTGCTGGGATTGGGATGGAGCTAGGATACTATGGGGAACACATGCAAACATGGTTGGTGGGCATAGACGAATGCAATTGATGTTTACCAATTGGTCCCCCCGCAACATATATCTCCGCAGACACTTGAATTGCACGCGGCCAAGAAATGAAACACGACGTGGAACTAGCCTCCTGTACACTAACATTGAACCCAGGTCCCTTCTAAAGGAGAATGGTCTTCCAGGACCTCTCAGGCAGGTTCCATGTCAGTGGACAGGAGGGTCTGTTTTATGGCGATGTCTATCTTTTTCCTGTTTAACCCGCCAGTGGGAAGTGGATCGGGCACCAGGCTTTGCACGAGCTAAGCTTACCCGATTGTGAGAGGAAGCAGTGCTGCTTGGCGATTGGGATGGGTTGACTTTATTTGCTGTATTTAATATTGCCAACACCTCATGCCACTCGTTGGCCTTTCATTTTAGCTTGTGTTTCGGTCCGTGCCGATTCGCGTTTGCTCACGGGTGCGTGTACTGGGCGGTGCCTAGAAGTGGAGAAGGGTCCCAAGCCAGCGCTGGCCAAAGATCTGCCATGGAAAGGCACGGAAGAGTTTTTGTGGAGGTGCACAGATTTCGTTTGGAAGTGCAATGAATCACAGACACTTGGCACTGCTGGATAGTCTGTGAAGGGCTTACTCCCGGCAAGCTATCCCCGAACTAAGGGAGCACACATTCGCTGAAAAGAAAGCAAGGCATGGTCCATAAAGCTTGAGTGCTGTTGGGTTGGATCTTTAGACTTATTTTTTGGAAACCCACAAAAAGTTAAACTGTTTGCAGAGGGGTCAACAGCAACCAAGAAAGGACA